GCGGGAAGCCTGCTTCTCCCTCTCCCACTCCCCTTGCTTGTGTTCCTGCTCTTGCTATCTCTCTCTCTGTCAAATAAATAAAATCTTTAAAAAAAAAAGATTTTTTTTTTTTTAATTTGAGAGAGAGTGTGTGAGAGAGAGCATGAGCAGGGGCAGGGGCAGAGGGAGAAGCAGACTCCCCACTGAGCAGGGAGCCCCGACCCAGGACCCTGGGATCACGACCTGAACCAAAGGCAGACACTTAACTGACTGAGCCACCCAGGCACCCCATGAGGTGCTTTTCAACTCTTTAAAAAGCAAGTACTGTAATACAGTTTTTGAATGATGAAATATTTAATCCCCGGAAAGTCAATGGGGAGTACTGTATCAAATCCCTGTAACAAATTATATATACACATTACCTGTTGGTACTGTTCCTCTCTTTGTGAACCTTGATAGATATGGAAGGCCACTCAAAATTTTTACTTGTGCTATAGTACAATAGATGGGTACTTAATGACATGGCTGAGTTCTTAGTGCCCTCCTGCTTAATATACTGGGAAAGATAAATCACCTGATCTGACAAGCAGTTAACTCTGCTGCTTTCCTGACATGTGGCATGCCCGGTACAGAGCCCCTGACACAGGCCTCAATCTCACGACCCTGAGATAATGACCTGAGCCGAAATCAAGAGTTAGACGCTTAACCAACTGAGCCACCCAGGCGCTCCTAGCAGAAATCTTTTTTTTTTTTAAAAAGAGTGGTCTTGTGTACATTTTCCTAAAATGATGTATTTTGGTATTTACATCAAATGTGCAATATATATCTACATACATTAAAAATTTCTACAAGGATGTACCTAAAAGTGTTAACAAGGCTTCCTTCATGCTCCCCCTCTTCTGAATATTGGGATAACCACCTACTGCAATTATTCCTGCCCTTTGTCCTTTCTTCATGGTTTCTCCTGTTAAAAAAACAAAAAGTAAATCTGAAGATTAAATTGGCTTTATTAAGTCATTCATGAATCAAGCAGTATCTCATCAAGCAGAGAGATACTCCAAGGAGTTCTACAAAATGGAAGGCTGTTATAGAAAGGAGGGTTGGGCAAGGAAGTCACTGGCAAAGGAAGAATGAAAGTTCATTGGAGGAAAGTAAGAGTTCAGGGTGACAATGGCTTTTCATTGGCTGAGCTGTAGCGTTTTCCATTGGTTGGGCTTGTTGCTGGGCAGAAGAACATTTTCCTTGCTCCTTGGAGGGTAGTAAAGTAGTGACACCTTCCAGTTGGATATGCAAGGCACCTCTCTTCCTGTTTGGGATAACTGACTAGTGGTAGGGGATGAGAGCTTCCTCTAGAAGTCTTCCCAATTCCAATTTTAGTTCAGGTTTCCTTTATTAATTTTCACATTTCTCCCTTTTGGTCAAGATCTGTCTCTAAAAGCATCACTGATCAAAAATAAATAAATAAATAAATAAAATAAAAGCATCACTGATCAAGAGTTACGTTTCCCAAATTCAGTGGGCTTTGTTCCTTGGTGCCAGGAAAGACCTTTCTTGTGTATTTTTTCCTATGTCAATGGGAAAATGCATGGACCCAAAAACACTTGAGGCCACATTTCAGTTACAAAAAAAAAAAGGTAGTAGGGAGAACTCTCAGGCCTTTCTTAACCAAAGTCTATATTTTGTCAAGGTTGCAAGCATCAGAGATCATCTCAAAGCGCTGAGCAAGCATCACACTCCAAACATAGGGGCTTCGTTGTAGCAATTTCACTTGTAGGTCATCTGGGTGCCCTCCTGAAACAAGTTGTCTCTCTTTGCTTTTACAGGTCTTAACTGCCTAATATCAATGTTAATTTCATTGACTACCACCAGAATCTGAGGAACAATCCTCTCATCAGAGAGAAAGTTCTTATGCTTCCTCAATGACCATTTTATAGGCACTAGGAATAAAATATTAATAAAGACTATGAGTCATTTACCTTGTTATCCTTAATGCCTATGACTCACCAACCATTATATATATATACTTCCATATATACACTCTTAGAAAAGAACAGTGATGGGGCGCCTGGGTAGCTCAGTTGGTTAAGTGGCTGCCTTCGGCTCGGGTCGTGATCTTGGGGTCCTGGGATTGAGCCTCGCATCGGGCTCCCTGCTCAGCAGGGGGCCTGCTTCTCCCTCTCCCACTCCCCCTGCTTGTGTTCCCTCTCTAGCTGTCTCTCTCTCTGTCAAATATAAATAAATAAATAATCTTTAAAAAAAAAAAAAACAGTGGTATAGAAAAAATTACAGATATCAAAAAGATAATATGTTACTTGTTACTGGAATGTATTTATTCTCTCTCTCTTTTTTTTAAAGTAATCCTTACACCCAACATGGGGCTAGAACTCATGACTCTGAGATTAAGGGTCCCATGCTCTACTGACTGAGCCAGCCAGGGGACCCTGGAATGTATTTATTCTTGCACTTGTTTTTGTTTTTTAAGATTTATTTATTTTAGAGAGTGCAAGCAGGAGGCGGGGCAGAGGGAGAGGGAGAAAATTCTCAAGCCGACTCCCCACTGAGTGCAGGCCCCCCCCCCACCAACGAGGGGCTTGATCCCAGGACCCTGAGATCATGACCTGAGGTAAAATCAAGAGTCGGATGCTCAACCGACTAAGCCACCCAGGCGCCCCTATTCTTGTACTTGTTAACAAACTGGCTAATGTTCTGGAGATTCTTGCAAACCAAATAATAAAGATACCATGTACATGTGACTCAGAGAAACACAGATCATTGCACAAAACCCCATCCCTTTCCTCACCTAACACCCCAATTCCACCTTCTCCCTGGTACCTTCCTCTAGACATTGTAACTTCCTTCCCCACCCCCTCAAAACTGGACACCTTAAGTAGTCTTAAGAGGTTTCAGACTGCAAGAAGGGTGAATAGATATGCTTCCATAAAGTATTTTATCTCCCTGTTTAAATACAATAAGAATGTAAAAGTAATTTTGGAATTGTCGATGGAAAATTTCGGTTCTATTTCTGCTACTACTACTGCTCCCAAGCCTGGCAGGCATCTGCCCAGTGCTGTGTGAAACAAGATCTTGATGGGATCACTACTTCTCACAGTAACCTGAGACATGGGATAGTTTTACCTTAGTTTGACAGGTGAGGGACTTGTCTAAGATGTGAAAACGTGTTAAGGAAACCTAACTCAGAATTAGTCAGGAAGCCATGAAGGAGGGCTCACACAGCTTGCAAAACCCAGCAGGAAGGAAGATTTCCTTTCAACTCAACAACCAATGAAAGGCCACCACCGCTTTGCCTGCAGCCAATGAACTCTCATTTTCCTCCAATGGACTTTTGTTCAATAAACCTCCTCCCAACTTCCTTCTTTCCACTATAAAAGGATGCTCTCCTCCATTGTTCTCTGTACTTGCCTATGGTTTGCCATAGTGTGCTTGTCCCAAATTGCCATTCTTCTGCCATTCCCAAATAAACTTGATTTTACCGGCCGAATTGCTTACCTTTTTCTTTTAAAAGGTTGACAGTGGTTATCCTGAATTTAAACCAGTCTATCAAAACCTCAAGTCTATGTTCCTCCTAAACTCTCTACTAGATTGTACCTGGACATAGCCAGACCTCACTTTGAAGGGTTCCCTTATACACAAATTACACTCACCATGGTTTAGTTACATGTCAGTCCCCTAACAACATGGTTCCAATTTTAGTTACAACAGTGAATCAACTGTAAATGCATAAAATATAAACTTCACTGCTAGCTCTTCAGGCCAAAAATCACTAAATAACAGATGTGTATCACAGTAAGTGACTCTCTTCTGTCCTGGCCAGTCTGAGTCCTGCTAATTGACAACCAACAAGTTAACATTGGTAAAGACCTTCCTATTATCTCCTAAGTGAGAGGGTAACCTGACTCCATCTACAATGCAGACATGAATATTGAATCTATAAATACATCTACTGAAATCTATTAATGCAATGAAAAACATTTTGGCATTTCCTGAAAATGTGAACTATAAACTCTTCATTTCCTATTAGGATGTTGGCTGACTTAAGAGTCACAAAGTTGGTTTTCATTCGTCTTCACCACAACTGACGGAGACCTCCATTTCTATGGCTGAGCTCCTGTGAGCATGACTCTTCCTGGTGCTGAATGTATTCAGGCAATTGTGCCCTTTAAATGTGGCTTTATGTTTATAAAATCTGAGAGGATGTCAAAAACCTAACTTTTGCTGTATTTTTTAACGCTTAAAATACGTGAGAGTTCTTCTTAAGGATTAAGAAATACAATTACCTACTCATTTTATTATTATTTTTTTTAAAAGATTTTATTTTTAAGTAATCTCTACACCCAATGTGGGGCTTAAATTTACAACCCAGAGATCAAGAGTCACATGCTCTACCGACTGAGTCAACCAGGCGCCCCATAAGGTACAACTTTATTTTTTGTTTTCTTTTTTTGTTTGTGTGGATGTGTCTTTTTGGTGGTTTTTTTTTTTTTAGTAATCTCTCCGCCCAATGTGGGGTTTGAACTCCCAACCCCAAGATCAAGAGTCGCATGCTCTACTGACTTGAGCCAGCCAGGCGCCACGTCTACTCATTTTAAAGCAGTTCACTTTAAAAAGTAGCTAGCTTTCATTTACTTATCTATTCAATACTACTTGAGTCCTTCCTTCAGGCAGGAGACCATTCCAGCTGTCCTGGATACTCAGTGACTAAGCTAAACTTGGTGCCTGCCCTTGATTACTGGTGAGCAACAAAGACATTTAACCCTTATTAAATAAAACTGGATAATGCCACTTAAAAACAAATTAACACCTATAGAAAAAGCATTTCTGGCCATCAGCAAATACTTACTGAGAACTTATTTGAGCCCTATGCTTAATGGTATGGAAGACAAAGAGAATTAAATTGTTACGTCTTTGCATTTAGAGAGCTTACCACCAAGCCAAGGGATTTTCATTCTTTTCTGAGAAGGCATCATGTGTGTCTTATCAGGCTTATTATATATTATGCCTTCTCAGAAAAGAATACAAATTCTCAGGAGCCAAAAGTTAACTAAAAAGACTTTGAGAATAGAAAAAATTAAATCACACTAATAAAATACAATGATTACTATAAAAACAACTCTAGGGGCGCTTGGGTGGCTCAGTCAGTTAAGTGTCCATTCAGCTCAGGTCATGATCTCAGTGTCATGAGATTGAGCCCTGCATCCAGCTCCATGCTGGGCACAGAGCCTGCTTAAGATTCTCTCCCTTTTCTCTCTCTGCATCTCCCCCCCTACCCCAGCTCCGCTCACGCTCTCTCTCAAAAAACAAACAAACTTAAAAATAAAAAAATTCTAATCTTTGTCTAAAATATATATTGAGCACCTGATAGGAAATCTAAAGTGTACTAAGAACTGTAAATAAAAGTAAATCGCAGTTAAGCCCTAGAGGGAAAGTCAAGAGCAAACCTTGATGATGCCTCATACAGCTCCTTCACTCTTCTTTCTGTCCCTGTCAAATCTCTGTGCTATTCACAAGTAAGACTGTATAAAAATTGCTTTCAAATATTATTCATTGGATCACAGTGATTTCAATGTTAAACAATCCATTTTGGAATAAACTTTCACGGGGTGACAACTGGAGTTAGAGGAAGTCTCTTGTGCCTCCCTTTGAGAATATTACACAGAGTCAAAGTAGATGGCTAACAATTTGAAGGCTGCCCAGCCCTCTGTATTCAAGTGAAACTCCCTAAAGGAAGCTGAAGCTTGGGGCACCTGGGTGGCTCAGTCGTTAAGCGTCTGCCTTCTGCTCAGGTCATGATCCCAGAGTCCTGGGATCGAGCCCCGCATCGGGCTCCCTGCTCAGTGGGAAGCCTGCTTCTCCCTCTCCCACTCCCCCTGCTTGTGTTCCCTCTCTCACTGTGTCTCTGTCAAATAAATAAAATCTTTAAAAAAAAAAAAAAAAAAAGGGAAGCCA